AAAAAAAAAAAAAAAAAAAACTTGTCTATCAATGCTAGGCAACTGGCGCAAGCGAGTTGAAAAAACACAAAGGCCTTTGCAGAAAAGCCGTTCAAAAATCAACAAACACAATCAACGCTCGAGATTTCAGGACGGCACTTGCGCAAAGCCGAGATCTTGAAGCTCGTCATGTTCCTTGGCAGCTCAAGTGAAACTCTATGAAGCCTGAAAAGCTCGAATTGAGTGGTGCCAGTTTCCTGTTATACCAAGGCCTGTGCATGCACAGAAATATTTACCGTCACTGTAGCCATGCGCGATTGCTTCAATGACTACTCATTACTTGCAGGCGGAAGGAAGCAGGCAGAAGGAAAGCTTCACGAGTTCCGTCACCACGTGCAACATATTGATGCCCAGAATTGCAGGCAAGCAGGTGTCCCTTCAACCGCTTCAACTATTGTGACTGCCACTCTTGCTGTTGCTTTGACTGCGCAGGCGGCGCTTTTCCTCAGACTGCTACTCTTGTGTGCTACGCAACTATTGTTTCTGAGTCGAGGTCTGGCCGTTCACCAGCACAGCGCCGGAGTCTGGGTCATAGAAGCGCTCAAGGAGGGCCATGACCTTTGGTCGCTCTGAAGAATGGCAGCCCTATGGGTCCCATTAATGGTTCGGTGAAGGGTCGGTTGCTTTACATTGCGCAAGTATGCGGCGGTCAGGAACCCGAATAATACAATCCAAAATCATGAAATGGTGAGCTATCCTCAGACCAAGCCACGGTAGACTTTCCAGAGCCCGACTCGCCGACCACCGCAACCTCTTTGGGACATCACAACACTAAAGGTTTAGGGCCAGGGTTTGTAAACCTTCACTTAAACTCAAACCGCAAGACCCGAACCACAGGCAACCGGACCACAGGGAGGGGTGGTGGGTACAGTAATCGTTTAGAGCCTAGAAGAAAGCCAGACCCCCCATCACGCCGCAGGGGGTAAGGGGGAAATCTCAATTTTTTCAAAATTCCTAACTTGAAACCACCAGGCATGCCGTAGCATCGGAGAGGAGGGGGAAGCCAGTGGGGGAGCCTTGGGTCTTGATAATGTTTCGGAAATGGGAATTGTTTTGGTTGCTGACTTGGGGACATGATGAGGTAGATATCGGGTCGTGGTTATGGACCATCTTCGCAGTTTCACAGCTGCCAGGATGAGTCATGCCATCCCACTGTAGCGGGAGATGCTTTTTGTTGTGGAAGGACATTCAGCTTAGAATTCTGATTTCACAGGCCGATTGCTGCACACCGGTGGCCTTCTGGCCGCGCTCGATGGTCAAGGAAAGGCCGTTCAGGACCTGACCACACGCAATCTGCTTCCATTCCAAAGCTTCACACCTCTGTAGGATGTGCAGGGTGTGGGAGGCAGCATGATACAAGTGCATGTCGCTGCTGTTGCCTGGAAGCCCTGCGGCTTTTACTGCCATCATGGTGGCTGAAACATGAAGAGCTGATGAGCTGATGCCACGGCCTTCACATCCGGTCTTGCAGGATAGGTGAAGTGTACAGATTCAAACTGGAACTTCTCGATGCTCGTGATGTCCAGTCGCTTGTCCTTCCAAATGAGACATGCGTGCAGACGAGGCATCCATTATTTATTATCATTTCCATGTCTGTCTGTCTGGCTGTCTGTCTGTCTCTGTCTGTCTTCGCGAGTTGGGTCCGGTATTCTTGCAATGAAGGCTGTCTATCGTGTCTTACATCCACCGCCCGGACTGACATGCCGCACCATCAAACACAGCCGAGGCCAAGGCTGCAAATCATGCGTAAAAAGCAAAGATGGAACAGTCCCTGCCGTCATCAAGCAAGCAATCTCGAGAGGAGCCTCGATACGGCATTGAATGGCTGGCTTGTTCTCCACGGCCTGGCAGCTGGCAGCTGCTACAGCTTCAGTGAGCTCAAGGCTGAACCTGGTTCCTGTGCGCAGGCAAGCCCAAGGGCTCCCTGCATCTCTCGCCAGGCCTTTGCTCCCTGAACCCCCAGAGACTGCCAAGCTTCACGGCCTGGAAGAAGCGCCCAGCGGCAGTCTGTGCAGCTTTCATTGCCTGGCAGCAGACAAGGCTTAGGGCTTAGGGCTCTTCAAGGATCCCGCCTGCCACTCCATGAAAATCATACCAAGAATGTTGAGGCTTGCTTGCTTACATCCTCAGAGTTCATCTGCCTTGAGCAGAGAGTCAGAGCCACTTAGGTTGATGTTGCTCTTCTAGGAACGGTGCTTGAATGCTGGAAAGAGTGCTTGCCAAGCTTGTGCTCCGGTGCTTATGCGGGATCCGCGCTCACGAGTCTCGTTTATCTCATCTTACAGAGACAGGCTTTAGTCGAGATCGGTCGAGGAGATCACATGATCTTGTTCGACATGCTGAAGTATGCATCTGTTAACTAAGTTCATATCAGTGACACTACCTATTTTGTTCAATCAGCGGCTCCTACAAGTCTCCAAATAAGCTCTCGTCCTATTCACAACGCTAGTGTCCGATGTGGCTAATAACGAGGAACCCTAAGCCCCCTGAATAGCATTGGTAGCTTCCATTGTCTTGTCCACTCCCCCTGTACAACCCTAGTATACCCCTATACAAGCTTATTACTATATCCCCTATACAGTCCGAAACAATGGCTGTATATATTCCCTAACTATGCTGTAGCTGCCAGCCTTCAGGCTGGGATCAAGGTTGCCAATCATGAAGCTGCCTTCACTGCAGCTCAAGTGTTGTCAAGTGCACTGGACATTCCATCTGCAGTGAGTCGGAAGTGCAGATTCACAAAGCCTAATTGTGAGGAGCATAAAACAGCACTACATTTGCTCGCAAATTTTGCTGGCCAAGGCTCCAATGAAGATACAGAAGAAGATGGCCATGATAGTTCCCGGGTTCCAAGCTTCCTTAGCTGGTCCAGATTTCTGAGTCTTTCTGCTGCTGTTTTCGATTACTTTACAGAAGTCTGCCCCGCATACCACCAAAGCCTAGTTACTTCTCTTTTTTCGTCAAGCCTTGTAGGGTCCATTTGGGTGTAGGCGACGGGCTTGGGAAGAGCAAGGTTTACTGTTTCTAGTGACAGTGCCGGAAACTAAAAGCTAAGACTTTGAGTGAGCAACCCATGCCGACGTAGACATCCCATACATCTGAATGCCGGACTCAAGAATTATGGTCTCATCACCACAACCACGACCAGCCAAATTCTTGCGCTGGCCAGGGCCGCAACTACCACAACCCAAAGACGGAGCCCAAAATATTTCTCCCTGAAAGCGATGACAAATAACCTAGTCGCATACTGTCTAAAATGCAAAGATCATAATCAGGACTCTTCACTAATGACACTGCCAACATGACCATGACAACAACAACAAAGAGATATTCATACACGAGTGTAAACCATCATCACGACACTCCGGTGGCCGGGTTGATCTCATCGTTGTAGCGCCTTGGCTCGTGAGGCTTTCTCTTCTAGATTGGCATGTGTCCAAGGACCGCATTAATACGGGTCACAGGTAGGTGAGACCTTGCACCCTTCATAGTAACACGCTTTTTGAAAAGAGGGTCCTCAAGAGATGAACAATGTCATGAATCTGAGAGATTTGCCGTCGGGGGCAGCCTTGAAGCATTTGAAGGATATACAAGCCAGGGATATCCACTGATCAGGCCCAACTAGTAAGGGGAGGTCAACGCCTCCTTCCAGCGCGCAGAACATCAGAGAACCCCAAAGCGCATAGTCATGCCAATGTCACAAGGGCTGACCAAGCAGCGCAAATCAACTGAACTCTGTGCTTTTGCGTGATTGACCCAAGCAAGGGGTCGGCCTTGAACACGGTAAACCTAAGAGCGGGTCAGCCAGGGTGCAGAGTCATGCCGAACCAGAAGGCAAGACCGTAGCCCAAGAACACGATCATCATGGTGTACCCCATTCCTGCACCAACCTGCATCATCGCTTTCACGCTGCACATTAGCAGTGTGAGGTTTGATCAGACGTTTCCAGCTGACATTGTTGCACCCAGAGTTGTGGTTTGTGGTTTGTCCAGGTCGGGTAAAATCATCGCATTTCAAGGAAAAGGACCATCCTCTGGTGTACGGATTGCATGACCCTGCAAACCGGGCACCTTGAAGCCGTTCTTGACACCACCTCGGCGGGTCTCCACGAGTGCAGCAGAGAACTTCTTGAGCTCGCGGTGCCTTCGCAAAGCTGCTGCTGAACGAACGCGACTGGCTTCGAAACGTGCGGCAACTGTGAGGGGAAAATCTAGAAGGACGTGCCATGCCTGCAACTGCTACAAAGACCAGTTGCAATCCTTGAGAAATTTGCTGAGTCTCCACGGGCTACGCAGCACACTAGAATGACCTTGATGCCATGAGCCCTTGCGAAAGATGGTCTTAGGATTGCGGAAGAGCAGTGACATATCTGTTCAGGGAGCCAAGCTACTCTCCGCCGAAAGCAACCACGGTGCGCATGGCATTCAAGCACTCCTCGCAGGAAACGCGTGGATCATGCAAGTGCGAGTTTGGATGACTCCTCCAGGCTATTGCAGAATTCTGCACTGTTGTATTTGTACTAAAGATGCCTACAGACCACACGCCATCTAAGTTCGTGGAATTTGAGAACGAACCCATACAAAGCCAACCCTCGAAAGCGCACATTCTCGCACCCCATGGCTGAGCAATGCCGCTGCGCTCCAATCTTCCCTTGTTCACCAAACTGTGCACCTCAATGTCAAACAGCCTGGAAACACCTTTTCCATCACCTCTGCCCTTCAATGCAGCGCCTCCACAACAGCAGAGGCTTTGGCATACCAGCTCTGCGACTCATTCTGGATTTCTTGAACTGCCTGGCATTGGCTTCTTGCGGTCAGCCGATATCAAGCGTGACAGGAATCCCATGTGGCACGTTGCTAGCATGCCAGCTTCCAAACTTCGCGAACACAAAAAAGCATAGCTCTGGCCCTCTTGTCTTCTTCATCAGCGCTGCCATGACTGCCAAAAAACTTGATCTACGTACCTAGCATAGGGCACGAATTGGGAATGGGCTTTCAGTCGGACTTGATCAGATGCTTTTTGGAAGGAGAAACCCGCAATTTCACTTCCCCATACTAGGCTTGAAAGGCTGCGTGTCCAACCTTAGTTTGCAGTTTCTCTGCTCACTCCATCCTGCCTTTCCCATGAAGGCAGCGCCCACGCCCATGAAAGGCAAAATGGAGCACATGACCTGTATCATGAGTCTTCACTTGATCAAGCATGGACTGCATAGATGAGCCAAGAAAGCATTGGCTGTCAGGAGTACTGCAACACTAGCAGAGTTGCTGCCACAGCGGAGCAAAGCAAGCAGTTTCTTTCCGTTGGCATTATCCCAAAACGTGCTTATTCTTCAAAGCTTGATAGGCCAATTCTCTAATGCACCTAAATTTCATGGTGCCCAAAGCAGCCAAGTGGCCAAGGCAATGAGCCAGCCCATGCCAAACGCACAGCCAAACCCACCCAAGAATGCAGAAGCAGCCTCAGCTTGGCCGCCACCATAATCAGAACATGTAGCAGCAGCACGTAGTTCTGGTCTGCCAAAAAACTAGTCGTCTTTCTGCGCGAGTTTAGGGCAGCCAGTCTGCTTTTCTGAGTCTGACAGCTATTGCAGAGAAAAGTTGAGGCTGCGCAAGGGTCAACAGGGCCCAGCAGCCATGACTCCGTTGCCGAACTTGTCTCCGAAGGCATCCTGTCGATCAAACGAAAGAAGCTTGAGTCTGACTACATTGATTCTGGTGGGTCTCGGCCAGGGACAAGCGAAAACATCCTGGATTCACAGGTATTATCTGATTCGATGCTACTTGTCATACTGGTAACAGCAGGGGCACAGGTATATAAGCGGCAGCGGCGGCGGTAACAGAAGCAGCAGAACTAACTAGCAATTCGCATGAATCGTGGCAGTTGTGACTGCAATCGGCAGACAGTGGAAGCAAAGATGTCTCACCGCTAGCTTTGGGCCGGAGTATCCTGCAACAATGTTGGACGTGGTTCTGTCTGCCTACTGGAACGACACGCTTCTCAAGAACAGCCAAACCTCAGCTTCATGCATATCCAGAATGCTCACTCTGGTGGCTTGGCTTCTCTTGTCTGGGGGCACCATGCAGTTCTATCAAATCTCTACAGGAGCTCGCTGTGTACATTTGTGGGCAAGATCTCAAAAACATGGAGCCTTATGAGATGGATCTGTGCCTGTCTCACAAGTCCTTGATACCTCTGAGACCAAGTGTCATAACTCTACAAATCTCCAAAAAAAGCGGTAAATGTTCCTAGAAATGCGCGTCCCATGCAATCCTATGCTTGCCCAACAGAACCTTGTGTCACATTGGCTCACTCCCCAATTCGATTCCCTTACGAACGGGCCTGGATCTTTTCCAGGTCATCATTGATTTCGGCAGGCAGAGCAGCAACCTTGTGAGCAAGCGGCCAGAGATGAATTGCAGCGTGCCCTGTAGGATGTGTAGGGTAAAAGGCTTTAGGGTTTGTTCCTGGCTCAAGTGAGCAAGGTTTGACATCATGGTATTAGTGCACAGAGTTTCCCAGCAGCAGGGTGGTACCATCCATAACAATCCCTGCCCCGCCTACGACCTGCCCTCCGGCCTGCCTAGACTTCATCCTCCAAGCTCACAACACTGGAGCCTAGCCTTTCTGGCCACGAACCCTCAATTTGAGCCAGAATCTGAATCTAAAAGCACGTATTATCAAGTAGAATGAAGATGCGAAGTCTTCCCTAGCAACATTTCTTTTTACCCTCAGGTGCGCCTCCTTGGTGTCGAACCAGCTCACGTCCTGCGGGTAATGATTCACAAACCACAATATCGCAGAGTCCAGTGCTTCCCTCCTATGAAGCACTGACCTGGTTCAGCACGATGGATGCATAGGGATGTTTTGACGAAGGGCATTCATAATTACCAGAGGGCAGTAACTACTAAACCCATTTCAATACACAAGACTTCCTAGAGACCCCACCCGCCGTTGTGTCGTCACCCTGCATTGCAAACCTGCGGGCAGCGGTCGGGCCCTGTCTTGGCCGCTTTTGCGTGAAAGCCTCATGCCTTTCCTGCGTTTTCTTGCCCTGCTGAACACACAGACTGGATGTCTATGACTTTGCCAACCATTTTAGAAGTCTGTAGCTCATCCCCACTGTCCTGATGCAGCACGGAGTCGAAGTACAGAACACGAAACTTGAAGGCCTGCTTCCTGACTTTTCCAACCCGGGCGAAGAAAGCATACATCGTATACATACATACATACATACATACATACATACATAACATAACATACATTACATAACATACATTACATTACATTACATAACATTACATT